CATCTTTAACCAGCTGGAAAACACGAGGTCAGGCACTGTGTGAGACTCTTGCACCTTTTCCGTGCCAGCTTTCAAGAGCGCGGAGGCGGGTTGCGTCTGAGGTTGCTGAGCAACCATAACAACCACCGTGTCATAGCCTACTAAGATATAAACCTGAGTGCAGAGCTGATCTTCTTCCAGGCGCTGCTTTTTGAGCGTGTATTGGGCTAAAATATTGGCTGTGAGACGGATGTAAAGCTCTGACAGCTCTGCACTAACATGATCAGCTTCTCCTCCATATTTATCACAGACTGATATTTACTGAAGAAGGAAATATATCTGTCAGCTGTGATTGGTTAGTCCTCGTCACATGACATGCAGTGTGCACGACTAAATTCCAAAAGTTGAGCTCTGTGGTGCTTGTCAAATCATTTTTTAAGCACTGGGGAGGGGCTTAGGTTTGTTATAATGGCAAAGGGGAGCGGCAAACAACTGTAAATGGCTATTTTTTTTGTATTTATCTTACTGCCAATTTTTAATGAAATTTTTTTGGAAGGCCTGTTTTCTTTAAAAATCGCCTGAAGGACACCATTTATCAGCCAGAAACTGTACAACCAGAAATTATCATTGGATTTTCGAATTTCGGATGGTCTTTGGACACATCATGTGCAGTGAACACTTCAGTCAGAAGAGAAAAACACAACCAAATCTAAGCTTAAAAAAATGTATAGATCATCAAAATCACTGTATTCTATGTCTCATTTAAAATCTGGCCAAAAAGAAACTGTTTGCAGGAACAAACCAGCAGCACGACAAGAGTGGAAAACTGAGGTTTTTTTCAACTCCAGGATTTCATCTTCAGCTTTTAACTTTCTAACATTAAAGTGTACGTTATTAAAACCTAACAGCTAATTGATGGTGGAGCGAGGGTCGTGCATTTTCTGCTAGTCACTCAGGAGGCTCAAGGAAAAATATCTGTATCTTCAGGGAAGTCACACCCCAGCCACCCCCCTCCTCTGATAAATAAAGAACAGTCTCTAATATATCATCCTTTACTTTAAAGATTTCCACAGTAAAAACACAAAAACAAAATAAATTTTAAAGGAGAAACAGCTGTTGAAACTCAATAAATATGCAGTTTGTAAGAGATTTTTTTTTTGCAACAAAATGATAAAAATCACTTTTCGGTTTGTTCGTTTGCACAAACTAACCAGCACGACAAGAGGGAAGAACTGAGGCTTTTTTTCAACTCCAGGATTTCATCTTGAATTTTCAATTTTCAAACATCAAAGGGTACTTTATAAAAATCTAATAGCTAATTGATGGTGGAGCGAGGGTCGTGCATTTTCCATCTGTCATTCAGGAAGATTCAAGGAAAAATATCTGTAGCCTCTCAAAATACAAGAAAAAAGACAAAGTCACCCTCCTCCTCTGATAAATAAAGAACAGTCCTTTACTTCCTGTCTCATCATGTGGTACAAAATGGCCAAACACATTGTTAACTGTGAGCAGAAACAGATACCACTAACAGATGAATATATAAACTGTATGATGAGTCTGCAGGTGAGTCCTGTGAGAACTGATGAACCAGACTTCAGCCTCAACTGATTCTTTTTTTTTTTTTTAGGTAACTTTCTGTATTTTTGCTGAATAAGTATTTTCTCCTGTTGAATCATAGTATCGTCTCATTTACTGACATTTATTTCCCTTATTAAAGCTGATTTAAACTCCTCAAACTGACTTCCTGTTTCAGTGTCTGTGCATCAGGAGCTGTCCGCGGTGCTGAAACCAACACGGACTGTCTCGCGCTCGGTGCACGAGGCTGCATGATATTTTATTATCATTTTTAATAAGAGCTCACTGTGTTGACAGGCCTATCAGTGTGTGTGTGTGTGTGTGTGTGTGTTCGTGTGTGTAAAACAGCGTCCTTCACATTTATTGGGTTGTGGAAAATGTGTCAGCTCGTGCGTGCTATATTCATCTGTCAGCGGTCTTCCACGTGAGCGGAAGAGAGGAGCAGAGCTGTCGCGTGACGCAGTCGGTTTTTTTTTTTTAATATGTGTTCCTTCTCCTCACCTCCATCTTTGTTTCAGATTTTACGGTCTCGTGTTAAAACAGCAGGTGTGAGGATGTGAGGCTTAGTGCACGCGCTGTGAGCCAGCCTCCACCTCCCGGTAAACAACCTCCACCTTCAATGCAGCACACACACACACACACACACACACACACACACACACACAAGAACACACACCGTGTTTTCATTCCACCTGCATCACTTATTGACCTGGCCTCCATCATCCGGGCCCCGGGCGGTGCTCGGCAGCGGGCGGAGCGGGCGGAGCAGGCCGGGCAGCATCGGTTATCAAACGGCCTAGATTTACAAACGAGACTGACGGAGACAGGGAGCCAATCAGAGGAGCAGGAGAGGCGCGAGCTGGTCTCTAGTGACACGCTGACCTGCTGTCTCGGCGTTACCATGGCGACAGAGGGTGGGATGCAGAGGGGAGAGGGGTGAAGGTGTGTTGTTATAAGTGTGTGTGTGTGTGTGTGTGTGTCTCTAAACACAGGAAGTGATGAGATTTCAGCACGGTTTAATTTCTAATATTAGAAACAGGCGTCCTCCTTTCAGCGTCCACAGTCTGATAATCTAATAATGTCAGAATGATGGAGGCCGGTCAGACGGACAGACACACAGACCTCCTTCATACTGAGGCCGGTCAGACGGACAGACCTCCTTCATACCGAGGCCGGTCAGACGGACAGACCTCCTTCATACCGAGGCCGGTCAGACGGACAGACCTCCTTCATACTGAGGCCGGTCAGACACACAGACCTCCTTCATACTGAGGTCGGTCAGAGGGACAGACCTCCTTCATACCGAGGCCGGTCAGACACACAGACCTCCTTCATACTGAGGCTGGTCAGACGGACAGACCTCCTTCATACTGAGGTCGGTCAGACACACAGACCTCCTTCATACCGAGGCCGGTCAGATGGACAGACCTCCTTCATACCGAGGCCGGTCAGACACACAGACCTCCTTCATACTGAGGCTGGTCAGACGGACAGACCTCCTTCATACTGAGGTCGGTCAGACACACAGACCTCCTTCATACCGAGGCCGGTCAGACAGACAGACCTCCTTCATACTGAGGCCGGTCAGACGGACAGACCTCCTTCATACTGAGGTCGGTCAGAGGGACAGACCTCCTTCATACTGAGGCCGGTCAGACACACAGACCTCCTTCATACTGAGGCCGGTCAGACAGACAGACACCCAGACCTCCTTCATACTGAGGTCGGTCAGACACACAGACCTCCTTCATACCGAGGCCGGTCAGACGGACAGACCTCCTTCATACCGAGGCCGGTCAGACACACAGACCTCCTTCATACTGAGGCCGGTCAGACGGACAGACCTCCTTCATACTGAGGTCGGTCAGACACACAGACCTCCTTCATACCGAGGCCGGTCAGACAGACAGACCTCCTTCATACTGAGGCCGGTCAGACGGACAGACCTCCTTCATACTGAGGTCGGTCAGAGGGACAGACCTCCTTCATACTGAGGCCGGTCAGACACACAGACCTCCTTCATACTGAGGCCGGTCAGATGGACAGACACACAGACCTCCTTCATAATGAGGCCGGTCAGGTGGACAGACACACAGACCTCCTCATCATGTGGACATGGGCGGATATAAAGGCTGTGAAGCCCCTGAGCACCAACATGTAATGGGCCCCCACCCTCCTGCACTGGAACAAGACACCCAGACTCAAAAGAGATGTGAGTGTGTTGTTCGTGGTTTTGCAGCTCTTGATTGTCACTTTTTGTCTCTGAGTCATTTTGCATCTGACTGTAGTTGTTTTGTGTCTCTTTGTAGTCACTTTGTTTTTTTTCTGTATTCATTTTGCATCTCATTGTATTTGTGTTGTGTCTCTTTGTAGCTGTGTTGCTCTTTGTAGTAATTTTATTTTTCACTTTGCATCTGGTGCTTATTTTATGTCTCTTCATAGTCATTTTGCGTCTCACTGCAGTTGTGTTGTGTGTCTTTGTAGTCATTTTGCATCCCATAGTAGTTGTCTTGCATCTCTTTGTAATCATTTTGTTTCTCACTGTAGTCTTTTGAATCTGGCAGTAATTTTGTATCTCATTGTAGTTGTGTTGCGTCTCTGTATTTATTGTGCATCTCTTTGTAGTCCTGTTGCATCTGTATGTAGTTCCATTGCATCTCATTGTAGTTGTCTTGCATGTTTTTGTAGTTATATTGTGTCTCTTTGTAGTCAATTGGCATCTGTGTAATAATTTTGTGTCTCATTATTGTTATTACGTCTCTTGCAGTCATTTTGCATCTAATTTTAGTTGTTAAGTATCTTTTTTTTAAATCATTGAACATCTCTTTTTAGCCCTTTTTGCACCTTATTGTAATAATTTCCATGTCTTTGTAGCCCCTTTTTGTCTTTTTGTAGCCACCTTGCATCTTTTGTAGTCATTTGTATCTCTTTTGTAGTTTTGTGTCTTATTGTAGTTGTCTCGTGTCTGTGTCAGAGTTAAACTCTCAGGTTCTTTTGGTTGAAAAACTGCAGCTTAAGTTTTTATACTTTACATAATCCTGAATATTTAGTTGATGCTGGAGACGAAGAGAAGCCGACTGACTCCTGTCTGGAGCTTTCTGCCACAGCAGATCCACTCTGTCTCTCTTCTGCACAGATACTATACTAAATACTACTGATAAGGGCCCCTTGAAGCCCCAGGGGCCCTTGGGCCTGGGCCCTGTAGGCCTGCTCAGTAATCCATCCATGCATGTGGATGTGACCTACATGTTATTTATGTAGCGTACATCGTAGATGTGTTACAGTAGATTTCAGCAGCAGGCTAAGTAAGCAAGTCGCTCCACTTGCAGCCTGAGAGTCAGTTTGTGGAACGATGAAGAGATGAGATGTCAGACGAGACTGAATCTGATCTGTGAGCCGACGTTAGTGAGAAGATGCAGGAAGAGAAAGCGTTTCAGCAGTCTTACCTCCATCAGAGTAGGTTTCAGTGCCGTATCCATCCTGCAGCCCGTTGCTCCACGTCCCCTCGTACCGGGCTCCGCTCGCCGTGCTCTCCAGCTGCCCGTAGCGACCTTTGAACCCCTGCGTCCACTCCCCTCTGTACTCCCAGCGGCCCTTGCTCTCCACTCCGATGCCATGCCGCTTGCCCTGTGCCCAGGTGCCCTGGTAGCTGTTCCCGCTGGGCCACGTGTACACGCCCAGGACCTCGAAGCCGTGGCTCCAGGCACCTGCATACTCGCCCTGACCCTGGGGCCCCGTGCAGACCCCTCGCCCGTGGGCCTTACCCTGCTCCCACCCCCCGCAGTACGACCCCCCGTCATCAAAGTCAAACCTGCCTCCAGTGGACATGCATGAAACAGGTTTAGGCAAATCCTTAGAATGTCAAGAGAAAGAAAAAACAAAGGCCGGGTTCACTCAGGAGGAGCAAAGAGGGAGGAGGCCTAGTTTGAATCTGGTAGCATGGAGGTGCAGGGCCTCGACTCTCCCTCTCCTCTTAGTTTAGGACGTGAAACACCAGCTCCTCATTTTAAAAGCAGCCGGACGTGGCCCGAAGAGCATCACCTTATGACGGAGAAGCAGCCTAAGCCTCAGCGATGGGTCTGGAGTGACGAACGCAGCTGCCGTGCATGCTGCTTCCCATGGGCATGCAGGCTCAGAGTGCTTCTCATCCTCCTCCTCCTCCACTTCCTCCTCCACCTTCCTGCTCCACGCAGCCTCGCAGCTGGGGAGCTCGCCGGCCCGTCGCCTCAGCCCGTGCAGCGGGGCGCTCCAGACAAGTGAGGCCTAGGCTTTTCCAGCAGTCCCAGAGGCCCACAGAGCGGTGGCAGCAGCAGCGACCGAGCTCGGCTCAATCAGACATTACAGCATCCACACATCCCTGCCGCACCGCCGGCACACGGAGGGGGAGACAGGACGGGGATGCTGCTGCACTGTACGCCATCAAAAAAAAAGAGAAAAAAATCAGAGAAGTTGTAGCTGTAGCATGGCCTGGAAACAAGGCTCAGACACACACATCCATAACCACACACAGCCTCAGCCTCGCACACACACCTCGGCAGACATAACGGAGAGTGAATATCTCCTCTTCCTCCTCTCCGCTCTGCTGTGATCTGAGGATGAGCCACTCTCTCCTCTCCTGGAGACGAGGATGTGAAGAAGACAAAATTAATTATTCCTCTCCTCTTCCCTTTGTCCTCTCCATCTCAGCGCTCGTCTGAAACCTGGATTGTTGTTGTATCCCAAATCCACCAAGTCATCTGTCCTCTCTTGTTTTTCGGCCTCTCTCTCTCTCTCTCTCTCTAAAATCTGCTCATTACAGGACTGTTCCACCCCAGCCAATACCCCTCCCCCACACACACTCACACACACGCACACACACTCCTTCCCTCAGCTCTTAAAGAGATAGAGACGGAGGGATGGTGCGAATAGCTGCATGCACGGAGCTGGCTGCTCTTTCCCTTCGGGGATACAGCCTGCTCTTCCTAATTATCCAGCCTCATTTCACCCTCTCCTCCTCCCAGACTCAGATCTGGTCAGTCAGCATCTGTTTTCCTGATAACTGGAGGTTTGTGAGCTCATTGATCCTGTGACACTCTTGCCCCAAAACCTAATTGTTGTTAGTCTTTTTCACTGTTGTCTCGGAGGCAGACTGATGGACTGGAGCCGTCGCTGAGGGAGCCTCATCAGACCCAGACTGACCTGTAAACATACAAATACATATCTGTAAATACACCAGCGTCACCACGATCTGACGACCAATCACAGTCCTCTTTACTGTCACAGCGGTCACATGGTAAATACTGTTCTAATCAATAACTGCTGCATGATGGTATTGGAAATCTATCTGTCATTGAACACACCATCTGTTGGATCGTATGGTGACCAGAGGAACGGTGTCAAAGATGAATCGACGCCAGCTGTGTCACTGTGAACTGGTCAGACTGGGAACTGTGGGCTGTGTCTTTATTTCTTTGTAAAGCGGACAAGTCCAAACATTTTGGATGTTGTCTCCCGTCTGACCTGAAAAAAAAAGATGCATAAAACCCAAACATAAAATAAAAATAATAAACTACATTAATAATTTTAAATACAATAATAAATAAATATTGCAAAAAATAACAATAAATAAAACATTTATATTTTATGTTTAAAATAAATTAATTTATTTTATCGCATTGTTTTGTTTTACATATTTTGATTTATTTTTTATTTAT